GGAGAAAGGCCTTTGGGGAAGGGGGTCTGTGGGGGGCTTTGGTCTTTAGGAGGGTTGTGAGAGGGTTGGGGGGGCTACTTGGGCTTGATCTGTGAGAGGTGTCGGGGAGGGGGAAGAGTTTGGGGAGGCCTTGGGGCTGGGTCTGTGAGGGGTTTGAGGGGGAGGAAGACTTTTGGGGAGGCCCTGGGGGGCTTCATGGGGCGGGGGGGTGCTGAGGGAGGCCTTGCCAGGGGGCACTGGCAGTATTTGGAAGCTTAAGGAAGATGTCGTGTGGAGGGTGTGGGGTGGGGTCCTGAGGGAAGTCCTGGTTCTCCAGGAAGACTTTTGAGGGTCAGAGGCCCCAGTGGTACCCAGGAGCTGAGGAAGGCCTTGTGGTGAGACACGGGAGGGCTCTTAAAGGAAGTTTTAGGAGGAAGCCCTGGTGGCTTGGGCAGAGGCCCTGGGGGGGGTCACGAGTGGCTTTGGGGGGGGTGTATGGAGGGGGGAAGGCTTTGAAAAGAGTCCCCAGGAATGTATGAGGAGGAACCGAGAAAGACTTGGGGAGGAGGCCCTGGAGGGATACAGGGAGGAGTGTAGCTCTGTGGAGGAAGTCCTGGGGGTGTAGTGTATGGAGGGGGGAAGGCTTTGAAAAGAGTCCCCAGGAATGTATGAGGAGGAACCGAGAAAGACTTGGGGAGGAGGCCCTGGAGGGATACAGGGAGGAGTGTAGCTCTGTGGAGGAAGTCCTGGGGGTGTAGTGGTTTTTTTGGGGGAGGAAGGTGGGGTGAGAGAGGGTGTCTTGTAGGGCTGGGATGTGTGGGGGGCTAGCAGCAGGGTGGCCCTGGAGGGCAGACACCCCAGTGAGTGCCATGGAGAGGTACCAGGAGGCTTTGAGGGGTGTATGGGAGGCAGCCTTAGAGGGAAGGCTCTGGAGAGGTGTTGTCTTGTGAGGATTAATCCCTCCCAGGTGGGGGGAATTTGAGGCATTGGTCTTCTGGGGAAAGAGAGAGTGAGGGTGTCTGTGGGGAGGTTCTGCTATAGTGGGAGGCCCTGGGAGATGGGAGGAGGCTTTGGGGGTGTGGGGTGAGGTGGAAAAGAGAAGGCCTTTGTCCCATGGGTGTGGGGCTTACACTTGGGTGGGCTTTGGGTAGGACTTACCCTACAGTAATTTGGTAGAGCTACAGGCATGCGGTGTAAAAAAAAAAAAAAAAAAAGGCATCTTTATGGAGTTGCAGGGAGTGGGCTGTGGCGTACCTGTGTTGTAGATGCAAAGGCTTGTAAAGTGTGAGAAGGCTTCTGGCTCTTAAAGCCTGGTAGGTGCTGTGGATGAGGGCTGGAGGCATTTTGTGGCATAAGAAGGGGCTGGGAACCCTCTTCCCAGGGTTGATGTCCTGGGTCTGCCCTTTGAGACCCTCTGCCGCAGGTGAGCGATGTGCTGTGCCTGTGTTTTGGCTGCAGCAGGAGGCTTGGTTTAAGTGCGAGCTGAATCTAAAGGTCTTTTATTTCCGCACCGAGCGCTGCACGTAAACAGAGTGTGTAAAGCTGTAAGGTCGCACCAGGAAGTGGCCGCGAGGTGCGTGCCAACCAAACACGTCCGGTTGCATGAAATGGGGGCAGGATGCCAGCGATGCTGAGCGGCGCATGCCAGAGAAGCCCATTTCCCTCTTGAGCCATGCTTTGGCCCTGGCCTTCCTGTCGTTTGCATCACTTTCGCTTAGAAGTAGAGAGCTGGCGGGGTCTGAAAGTTAAGGTTTTGTGGTTGGGAGGTATCGAAATTCATCCAGTGTTTGGCAGGGTTGGCTGTTTGGGGAGAAGCTGCGGTACTGCCGGCCCCGTTGGAGCGATGGGGCAGGGAGTTTGGCGAGGAGTTGTGCGGTGGCTGTGCTGCTGAGCACAGCTGTCGGTACAACACAGCAAGGGAAGAGTACGATGACTATTTGCATTTCAGGGCTGGAGTCTATTAAGACGCTATTTTTAGCAAGCTGTTTTCTACGGTGCGTTTGAGCACTGAGCGTCTAATATTTGCCACTGTCAAACTGACCTAGTGGCTGGTTGTGTTGTTCCCCAGTGAAGTTACGTGGGCTTTTCTTTCCGTGGTCAAAAGCGAGCGTTGCTTGATGAGTCTTTGGGCCTTTGCACCGAATGTTTGTGATGTTTAAAAAGGGTAGGTGAAAGACGGAAGCGTGCGGGCAGCTTTTTAGTGATGCTGTCAGAAACGCTTTGGCTTGCACGTAGGACCTGTTTGCCCCAATGGCGGGGGGAACGGCCGGTGTCACCCCAGTTAAAAGTGCTGGATGGTGAGGGGTAATATGGGAAACGTTTCTGGGAAGGGACTGCTGTTAAAGGACTAACTGGAAACATTTTCCCTCTTGTCAGTGGGAGTCGATCTTCGAAAACATTCAAACCCAAGAAGAACATTCCTGAAGGCTCCCATCAGTATGAACTCTTGAAACATGCGGAAGCGACTCTGGGGAGCGGTAACCTTAGACAAGCGGTTATGTTGCCGGAGGGAGAGGACCTTAATGAGTGGATCGCAGTTAACAGTAAGTCCTGTGAAAGAGGGATCCGCCTAGGTGTGGAGGTGGAGTGGCAAAACTAAAAATCTCTGGGTTTTATCCTTAAAAGAAGCTAGAAGCTTCTCTAAATGAAATTCTTACCCTAGGCACGCTCTGTTGAGGTAACCGAGTTGGGATAAAAGGGAAGTGGTGTGACGTGCTGATGGCAGACAGGTCCTGTGTCAATGGGGCGTTGCACCCTGGAAGCGTGCAAAAAGGGAGAAACAAACCCAAACCTGCACCATTGTGGTTTTGGGGTGGGTTTTTTTAGAGTTCAGACTTGCAAAGGCGATTAGGTTTGCGAATGGTTATTTTTGTACTTGGGAATAAGCCTCGAGTGTTTGTATTTGGAATTAGTTAGCATTGTCGGCTGCAAAAGCGGTGACAGCGAGTAGCCCGGGGAGAAAGTGGAACTATATTGTCCACTGAACTCTAGGTTTGAGGAGCTCCTTTTCTTGTTTTCTATTTTCATTTTATTATTGCTGTGTGCATTGGTTTAAAAAGCCAAATACTACAAACTTATTTTGCTTTTAGCAGTTGCTTTCCCTGGCCTTGACCTTAGTTTCTTTGGAGATTAAGGGAGGAAAAAGTAGTTTTGAGCAATGGAGAACACTAAGTCAGGCTACAAGCGTTCAGCAAAAGGAAGATCTCCTGTATTATCAAAATCAATCTGATTTTTGAGGTACTGTCATTTTTTTTAAAGGTGCCTGGAACCTAAATCAGCCATTTCCAAGGTATGGAAGGCTAAAGCGGAACTTTATGCTGTATAAATTGGTTAGGGGCGGTAGCCAGACAGTGAAATATTGACGGAGCAATTCAAATTCCTAGGTGGTCAAAATGTCTCGAAGTCATCAGCCACGTGACGTCGTAGGGAAGGGGGAGGTTTGCTGCTGCTGAGTTTTTGCAGCGCGTTCACCCCTGTGACAGTGACCCTCGGAGGCTGCGTCAGCTGAATGAGAGCGGACCGGCACTCAGTCTGCTTTGAGTAAACTTGATATGTTTCCTTCCCAGCGGTAGATTTCTTCAACCAAATCAACATGCTGTACGGGACCATTACGGAGTTCTGCACGGAGGCGAGCTGTCCGGTCATGTCTGCAGGACCAAGGTAGGAAGTTTACCGCGGTCTACAGCCGCAATTTAAATGTGGGGAAGTAGGCGGGTGTGCAAGTTGCTTGAGCGTGCATAGAAAGAGGCTAAAAAGAGGACAGGACATGTCCAGATCAGGTCAAAGCGCAGCATTGTGCTCCTCCTGTATCGCTTACCCGCACGCGAAGCCACACTGTCCGTTAGGGAGGCTGTGTGGTGTCTGTAGCTGTCAGTTTGTCTGGCGTGTTGCATATCTGTCTGGGGAAGCATGTGTGGGGATATCTTTTTTTTTTTTTTTTTCTTCCCTATGTTGTCTGGAAGCTGAAAAGATGTGTAGAAATGTTTTTGGTTTTTGGTTTTTTTTTTTTTTTTTAAGGAAAATGAGAGATCTAAATTGACTGGAAGTGTCCGGTCTTGCTGTCAAAGTCTTATAGTAACCTCCGAATGTGCTGTGTTGCAGAGCCGGTGCTCTGAGAGGCCATAGGATGGTTTTTTTGAGCATGAGCGATTCTAAAGATGCCTCTGCCTGTACAAAGCGGGATGTGAGACAGCGTGAGGCAGGCGAATGCTCAGGTCAGGTTACTGTACAGTGCGTGCGATGACTGCAGGGAGAAAAGGACAACACGACG